CAAAACATGCATTCTTTGATTATGACTTTGTATGCTCTTTGAAGAATGTATATCTGAAAAAAAAAAAAAAAAAAAAAGAATGTATATCTGAGTAGTGATCTAGTGTGTCCATGCGATCTTGCCTTATGACTTTGTCAGCACCCTTAGTAATAACTGTGACTGTGTATATGAAAAAAAAAGACAGTGGGATGGGGGGATTCAATTCATTGAATTCTGGAAATACCGGTTCTGCTGTGCCCATTAAAAACCAGGAAGTTTTCAGTGCAGGAAAAAATGAAGGGAGGCCACCGCAACCTGAAGTTAATGAAGAGACTCAGACAGTCTTGGAGAGTTTCAGCAGAACAGTATCTGGAGGTGTATTTGTGGTTTCAAATGTTCCAAAACTTTCCTCGCTTGACATGTACCCCTGATGGTCAGAGCCTCAATCAGTTACAGCAATATTTTTCACAAGTATGCCCTCTTTCTTTCTCCCCTTCCATTCTATATTAAAATTTCCTTCCATCTTGCATCATGTCTCAACATTCTACCAGAGAACTATTTCGCTAAATTGGGTTGTCTTGACCTAAAGAAGACCTTGGTGAGTAGCAATGACTTGGTGCGGTGGTTCTCAAACGTCATGTTCGTAGGAAGCACCAGAGAGCTTGTTAAAGCACAGATTGCTGAACGCTCTGCTTAAGAGGAGAGTTCTGGTAGTATACTGGGTTGTACATTGGGCTTGTAACCTCAAGGTCAGCCATCTGAACCCACCAGCCACTCGAGGGAGAAAGAGGAGGTTTTTTGCTCCCTTAAATTTTTACAGCCTCAGAAACCCAAAAAGCCAGTTTTGACTCTGTCCTCTAGGATCATTATAAGTCATAAACCACTGGATCGTAGATAGTTTGGTTTGGGCTTATGCCTAAGAAGTTGAGTTCTGAAAACTCGCTGCCATCACCTCATTTCTGACTCATTGTGACCTTACAGACAGAGCAGAGCTGCCCTTGTGGGTTTCTGAGGTGGTAAATATTTACAGGAGAAAAAGCCTCACCATTCCCCCATGGAGGGGCTGGTGAGTTTGAACTGCTGATCTTGTGGTTAGTAGCCCAACATGCAACCCACTATGTCACCAGGCTTCATTAAGAGGCTGTGCTGGGTCCAAAAAATGTACTGATCCAAAGTAAGGCAGATGCTGCTGGCCCAAGAATCTCTAAGAATTTTTGATAGGCAGTGCCCCTTGGGAAATGTGTTTGCAATTTATCAGCTAACCCTAATGCTGGTGATATCGAGAAGTACATCGATGATACAGTATTCCCCTGCCCCCATAAACATGCTTGCTAATAATAGGAATGGTTCCCACTGTCAGACCAGGAAGTTAGTGGATCAGCAGAGAAAGAGAGCTGGTGCAGCTGCTCATAGTTCAAATCTATGAGCCACTTTCCTAGAGAAAGATGAGGCTTTCCGTTCCTGTAAAGATCACAGCTTCAGAAAACCCAACATCAGTTCACTGTGAGTTTGAATAAACCCCATGGCAAGGGTGGGGGGGAGGGTGTTAAAGTAGGAAATGAAAGTATTATTTTTTTAATAGAAAAGGACTAATTGGCAATAAATCTAAATAGTTATTTTGTAGTTGACTAAGGAGAATTAAATTTTTTTTTCAAATTCTCAAATCTTATCATTGTTTCAAAATGTTTCACAAAAATTCACTTTCATATTTCATAATTTTACTTTTACCTCACTGGTGTATGCGGCCTGCCCTTGTGAGCACAGTGTGTGCCTTCATGTGTGTGTGTGTGTGTGTGTGTGTGTGTGTACTGTACAGAGGTTTTTGTCCTTTTGTTTGGGCCAGCCATTTCAGCGGGTGACCAGAGATCCTCTTCGGGCCAAAGAGTCTGATGCAGTCGCCCTGTGTGTATGTGAGAATTAAATTCTAAGCAAAGGCATTTGTTCCTTAATAATGACTCTTCGGATGTACACAAGGAATTATTTAATTAGATAATTATAATTTAATTAGATAATCATTTGATAAGTTTAGATAAAGTCAGCAAATTACTTGCCTGTGAAATAAATATGAAGTGTTCTATAATAATCTACATATAATAAAAGCCAGAAAGTGGAGAGAAAATCCATTATTTTTTCACTTAACTTTTCCCTGAAGTTTTTGAAGTATATAAACATATATCAGTTCAACAAATATATCATGATACTAGAAATATTCTTCATGGGGTCAACCCAAAGCTTTGAGCCCAATCTAAAGTATGTTATTTTAAAGAGCATCTGTTTTTAATTTTAATTTCTAATTTCTTTGCAATAATGAATTATGCCTTCTTTCCCATAACAAGGTGCTGATTCTTTCAAAAACGATGGAGTATACTTCAGTTATTTTACAGCTTATAAAGAAAATGGCAGATACAGCTTAAAAATAAGGGCTCATGGAGAAGCAAGCCTTGTCACCCGAAGCTCAAGGCATCCCCTGAACAGAGCTCTTTATATGCCAGCCTGGGTGGTAGATGGTGAGTAGTGCATGATATCAGAAATTCAGTGTTGGCTTTAACAGGTCTCAGTACTTGTAGCTGGGTATGATTAAGGCTGGAACTGTATTTTCCCATTTCTGGAATAAAGTTCTAGTCAAACTGCAGTTTGTCTCCAAATTCATCTGAGCTTGGGAACAGTGCATAAAAGCACACCTAGCAAACACACAGTAAATGCAAGTTGCTGTTCTTATTAGTCGAGAACACCTCACCAATATCAATAATGAAATGCCTGAACAGGGTCTAGGATGAAGGAAACAGGACAGATGTGATGAGGCCACATGCAACTGAGTGACAGAATTTATCTTTCAAATACCATTTGCTGTAAAATATAGCTAAGCAAGGAAGCATCTCTTTGGGATTTTTTTTATAGAGTCTAAAGAAAGAATGAGTGTGAAGTATGGTAATGACAAGGATTAAGAACCACTTCTTTGCTTTAGTCTTTACTGTGTCAAAGTGGTTAATGAGAGAATTATTCCTTTAGTCTACTGATCAGGATATTTTCAGGATAGAATAATTAACACACTGTTTGAGTATCAAGGGTGCACAGTATGAGAAGAATGTTATATAATTCAACACCTGCCTTTATAAAATTAATTACTTTACTTTCCAAATTATATCCAAGGTAAGAATGAAACTAGATAGATTGCTTTATATCCACTAGTAGCGTAACAGCTCCCTCCCATTCTACTGCAAGCAGTAAAGAACAGTAATCCAGATGGAATTCCAATTCACAACAGAAAAACCCTTAAAAGTCACAAGAGGAGTGACTCAAAACATGCATTCTTTGATTATGACTTTGTATGCTCTTTGAAGAATGTATATCTGAGTAGTGATCTAGTGTGTCCATGCGATCTTGCCTTATGACTTTGTCAGCACCCTTAGTAATAACTGTGACTGTGTATATGGAAAAAAAAGGGTAAGACAGTGGGATGGGGGGATTCAATTCATTGAATTCTGGAAATACCGGTTCTGCTGTGCCCATTAAAAACCAGGAAGTTTTCAGTGCAGGAAAAAATGAAGGGAGGCCACCGCAACCTGAAGTTAATGAAGAGACTCAGACAGTCTTGGAGAGTTTCAGCAGAACAGTATCTGGAGGTGTATTTGTGGTTTCAAATGTTCCAAAACTTTCCTCGCTTGACATGTACCCACCAAGTCAGATCACTGACCTTGCTGCTGAAGCGGATGGGGACCAGATCACCCTAACATGGACAGCTCCGGGGGACGATTTTGATGCTGGGAAAGGTAAGGGGATGTCCCCTGGAGATTTCTCAACTGAAGTGAAAAGTGCTCATTGTAAAAGAAAGACTGAATAAGGAGCTGGTGGAGCGACTTTTCACTGATAGCTGAATAAAGGATCAATTTAATCGTCTGATGCTCTTCAATCCATCAAACATGTCGCATCTTAATCTGGTATCAAGTCTTTCTGTAATGCAGGTAATAATAGTTGACAGTTTTAAGTTTGAGAAGTCCCCTCTTACTGAAAAATGAGCTAGGATTTGGATTTGAATTTAAGCTTTGAACAGTATTTTTGAGGAGGCTTAATACAAAGCCATTAAAATAGTATGCTGTAGTTCCTAAATTATTTTTAAATTTTTTTATTTGTTAGTTGAACGGTATGTCATAAGAATAAGTGGAAGCATCCTGGATCTAAGGGACAACTTTGATGATGCTCTTCAAGTAAACACCACTGATCTACTACCAAGTGAAGCCAACTCCAAGGAAAGCTTTGCTTTTAAGCCGGGCAACGTCGCAGAAGAAAATCCAACACACATATTCATTGCCATTCAGAATGTGGACAAAAGCAATTTGACATCAAAAGTCTCTAATGTGGCTCAAATCCCTTTGTTCCTCAAGCAGATCCAGGTCCCGATGAAAGCCATCATAATACTAAACTTAGCGTTTCTACCTTAGTGTTATCAGTGGTAGGATCTGTTGCAGTTGCTACTATTATTCTAAGTACCACTATTTATATTTTAAAGAAGAAAAAATATGCAAGTGAGTCTGAGACTGAGTTTTAACAAAGCCAACACAAATGAAAGATGTTTATTAATTAATTAAATAGTATCTTTAATTCACGTTATTTAATAGCGAACTCATAAAATGATTTTAAGAAGTTTGGAGAGGATATTTTGATTGACTATAAAGACGCAGTAATATTTGGAAAATTGTAAGTCAATATTAAATTTTTAATCATTTTATTTGCTTACTATTTTATTTATAATACATTGTGTAGAATAAAGCGTCTTCTCCATATAACTAGTTGTGGATTATTTAATTCAACATTTTCTAGAATATTTCACATTGTATCAAGAAATTCAAATAGATACTGTGACAGAGGACAATACTGGGGACACACGGCGGGAATTAGTCCAGTCTGAGCCCCCTGCAGAAAGGAAACCAAGAAAGGAACATAACAGATCCGTAACGGGGCAAAGTCAAGCCACAGAGCCCCTAAAGAGCCCCCAAAATAGACTTACGGCTATGAGGGGCAGCTCCTGGAATTTCTGCAGGACCAGTGGGGAGGTAGTCATAAAGGTCAGCAGACAGACTAGGAATTACATACATTTTTTTGCCTCTCTCTCTCTCTTTCCCTCCCCCCCCTCA